ATACAAACGGCAGCAGCAGCAGCAGCAGCAGCACCAACAACAGCAGTAGAATATTACTATTGTGCAACCAGGGAGCGCTACCCGCTTCATGCATAGCCTCGCCCCCACGAGTCCCCTACAAAAAAAAAGGAAAATATGAAAATAAACGTACCGTCCGAAGGATTGATGATGTACCGCAGCAGCAAGGCGTGCCTTACGCCAGACGATCTCCCAAGCCCCTCCCCCACGGCGCCCCCCCCCCCGTCAAAGTCGCCTCCTCCGCCGTAGTACGCGGAGCCCCCTATCGGCCCCTCCACTTCTCGCCGCACCCTGCGGATGACCGCTACCAAGTCTTGGAACTCCACTTGCTGCCGAGTGTGCGCCTTCCAGCTGGTAACCAGCCGCGGCCGACAAGAAATAGAGGCGTGCGTGGATGTACGGGTGAGCGCGTGGAATTGGCGGGGAGTATGTGAGGCCACTAACAGTTAAAGGTTCCGTGGTGGAGCCGAGGGGGAGGGGCCGACATCGTAAATCGCGACGAACAGGGCCTCGCCACTACACATCGCCATCATCATCAGCAAGAACAACAACGGAGGCAACACCCAATGCCGACAACGGCAGCAGAACTACGTATCACCCATCATCGTAGCGACAGTGCCAGCAGCGGCAGCAGAAGAACTACGTATCACCTTCATCATAGCAACAACAAGCAGGCGAAAAATCAACACGTGAGCAGCGGCAGCAGAACTACGTACCACCATCAGCAACAGCTAGCGAGAACATACTCGGCACGTGCGTACCTGCACGTGCACCTCGACACCGCGCGCTCCACGTCCCGGACCAGGGCCCTCAGACCACCCCCCAGGACGTGCTCATACGTCGAAGACAGCAGCGAGTGCCGCGCCTCCATGGAGAGCGCGAGCCCCGCCGTCCCCGCGCCCCCCGACCAATCAGAAGGTCCCGCTCCCTGCCTCACCGCCGCTGGCGGAGGTGGTACGCCGTTCCGTGTGGTGGTGGTGGATGGGGACGGCATCATCCCCGGGTTTCCATCGGGCAAGCTTGCGGCGGTTTCGGTGCTGCTTCCGGGGGCGATGTCGTCGTCGTTGGTCCTTCGCAGCAGCAGCTCCTGCGATTCCTCGAGAGAGAGCCTCCCTATGAGGGTTTGGAGGCGCGGGGGGGGGGGGGGCCCAACGAAAAGAGGGGGGGATGTTTTTTTGGGCCGGGGGGCTGTACCCCTGCTTCTTCAAAACACTTGATGACCAACAAGTTGTTTGCCCCCCCGGCAAAAAAGGAAGGAAAAATTGGCCCTTGGGGAACCCTCCCTCCCGGGGGAAAAATGCCCCCCCCCCCCGGGGAACCGGGGGCAAAGGGCTTACCCCTAAGGGATGGAAAAAAAAAAAATACACCCCCCCCCCCCCCGAATTTTGGGCCACTGGTTTT